CTCAGCAATCCCATTACTGGGTATACACCCAAAGGATTATAAATTGTTCTGTTATAAAGACACGTGCACACATACGTTCATTGCGGCACTGTTCACAACAGAAAGACCCAGAACCAACCCAAATGCCCATCGATGATAGACTGGATGAGGAAAACGTGGCATATATATACCATGGAATAGTATGCAGCTTTGAAAAATGATGAGTTTGTGTTCTTCGTAGGGTCATGGATGAATCTGGAAACCATCATTCTCAGCAAACTGACACAAGAACAGAAAATCAAACACTACATGTTCTCACTCATAGGCAGGTATTGAACAATGAGAACACATGGACAAAGGGAGGGGAGCATCACACACTGGGGTCTGTTGGGGGGGACTAGGGGAGAGACGGCAAGGGGTAGGGAGGTTGGGGGCGGATAACATGGGGAGAAATGCCAGATATAGGTGTCAGGGGGATGGAGGCAGCAAACCACATTGTCATATATGTAACCTATGCAACAATTCTGCATGATCTGCACATGTACCCCAGAACCTAAAGTACAATTTTAAAAAAACCTAAAAAAATTATACCAAAGAAAATCCTACTCCTTATTAATCTAAATAGACACTCTAATATGTTCCTTTTAGGAGACAAATTCTCAGTTACATTCAGGGTTCCTGAAGCTAATCTAAATTCATCTACTTTTCTAATGACTTTTCAAGCTCTGGTTTGTTTGTTTTTTCTATAGTATCCAGAACCACCAGATGATGACTTTTTTGAAATATTAACCTGGCTATACACTACAGTGCCCAGTTACTCCATCAAATATTAGTCTACATGGTGCTTGTGAAGGTATTTTGCTGACATAATTAAAGCCTCTAATCAATTTAAGTAAGGAAGACTATCCTAGATAATCCCAATAGGCATAAATGAATCCTTTGGAAAAATTTAAAAACAGGGATGAGGTTTCCCCAGGAAAGAAAAGAAATTCTGCCTGTGGACCACTTTGGCTGTGGCTACAAAAGATTCCATCCTGCTCATGATCATCTCTTCCTGACAGCCTTCCACAGGGATTTCAGTCTTGCCTGCCCAACCCCACAATTTTTTAAGACTTTATTCTCTGTAATAAATATCTTAATATACGTAGGCATGTATGCTTCGGTGTGTGTTTATATATGACTGTGTGTGTGTGTGTGTGTGTGTGTGTGTGTGTGTATCTCTGTGTGTGTGTGTGTATGTATATATATATACACCCTACTAGTTCTGCTTCTCACTGAATTCCAACTAATATGCACCACAGTATGGAATATAAATTTATAAGTACTACTTCTTAGATTTAATTGGGGAAAATATTTTAAATTTACAGATATATTAGTGGGCTTCCCCAACCCTCCATTTAAAATTGCAGTGGGTCAAGAGTGTAATATAGCACTAAATCATCTTCTAACAAGAACTACTATTTTCTGTAACGGCCAAAATGGGAAGAAATTATTCATTTATTTCTTTAGATCACAAAGAACAAGCCTGAGAATCCTTCATAATATAATCTGAACATTTTAATATTGGAGGTCCTTATATAAGAAGCACTATAAAATGAAAAGAATACTAAGGATTTTCTTGAGTTCAATTATTGTAACAGTCTGCTTTTATTTTTGCACTTAGTAGATTGCTGAACATCCTTAAGACATTAATTCTACATGCTGAATCTACAGTGTGGCACTACGGTTACATTAGCTGAGGAACTATTTAAAGAGTATTTCAGCATAAGAACAACTAAATAAAAAAGAGTATTTCATCATAAGAACAACTAAATAAAAGATGGGCTAGAAACAAAGATGAAAACAATCACAACTAGCAATATCAGAGCTTTACCAGAACAAACACAGACTGATTTTTATCAGAAATCAGGGTACCTAAAGACGTATAGTTCAAAAGGTATATGACATAAAATCAGCTGTTGTTTAATTCTGATCAAGCTAAATTCCAACCAAGCCCCAGCAGTAGCAAGAGCAGCAGCAGCAATTCACTCTAGCATAAGACTATAGCCTTATATAATACTCACTTTCCCAGGAAGTCCACAACAAAACTCCCTGATGGTACAGGGACAGAAACCTGGTGCGGAGGGTACAATTTTTGAGAGATTGGCTTTCTGAGAAACAGTATGGCCAAGGGGCAGAAGGAGCATACACATATAAACACACAGACACCAAAAACCCCAATGGAACAGGACCATGATAAGACAAAAAGAAAGATGAAGAAAGTCAAATGATAAATTACAGGGAGTCAGACACGCACACAGAAAATAATGGAATGACAACATAAGATGCAAATGGTTAGTAAGAAACACAGAAGCCACACACATGCAAAGCAGTACTAAATCTGGGAACAAGAGGCATAATATAATTCCAACTGTCTTTGACACAGAATGCACTGATTATCTCCTAAAATAAGAAGAGCTCAGTTTATAAAAATGGCATTCAAGGGCATAAGTGAAACTAAAATCTACCTTAGTTTGTAAGCAAGCCATAATACTAAATATAGCCACTTCTGCTTAAGACATTGGGTCTAGAAGGGGTAAAAGAATAAATCACCTAAGGGTAAGGAGCCTTCAAATAACAGTTGCCAAGAAGTCCAAAAAGAACATAACTAACCTTGGCAGAACAGAAAGAAAATTGAGTTGGAATTTACAAACCCCATTCTATTAGCTCTGGCTCAACCACTGTGTCACTTCAGGGATAACTTCTCTGGGTCTCGGTTTCCTCTTCCATAAAATGCTATGCTAGATCACTTTCACAAATTCTATGATTCTACTGTTTCTTCAACATCTTAAACTGTGTTACCAAGTCACAAATTCAAAGCTGGTAGCAAAAGCTGAGTTATGAAAGCTGTTTCCTTTTTTTTTTTTCCAGTAGCCAAGAAACTGTGTTAAATCCTAAAACAAAATTATAATGCTATAGGGCCAGAGGACAGAACTGGAAAGTGCTTTTTCCAACTTTTGAAAGAGTTACATTCTGTGGAAAGAGTAGATCATTTACAACTCTTTCTAAAAATGTGAGAAATATAGTGGTAATAAAAATTGCTATTTGCTGCGCTTTGGATATCAAATACAGACTTAGTCCTATTTCTTAATCTCCTTCTGTTCACAACCATCTCCCAAAATCAATATTGGTACCCAAAATGAATAAAAAGCGTTTTCAAGCAAGCTGCCTGGAATAGCAAACAGTAGTTACAAATGTAGACTTCTAATACAAGAAATCAAACCATAAAATAAAACTTATTCAAGGAATTTCTTTAGTGAAATATATTTAGTGGAATGTGGAATATATTCGTGGAAATATATTTAGTGGAAAGTCACTAATCAATCAGAAGCACTATATTTTTAGTATCTATGCAGTACTGTTGCAGATTTTAGGCCTTTCCAAAAGCCAAGAGAGGCATGTATTCACACAAGTATGTAAGGGGTAAGGGCATATATATACATGCATGCATGTGTGTGTTGTAGGGGAGAGTGCAGTTCAGAGATGAAGATATAAAAAGTGCACATAATCAAATCTTGAGGCGATAGCAATTTTAAAATTCTGACTTAAAGAATTTTATCCATATATCTCATCTAGAACTGAAGAAAATGAGTACAGTTAATACCAAAATAAGATCCTTTGTATTTTGGTGAGCAGGCAATCAGCCCATGTAATTTACACTTTCAGTACAGTGAAGGGCTGTGAAGGTTAGACTTTATAGTTGTGGTTTCTTTTGTTTGTTTCTGAGATGGAGTCTTACTCTTGTCACCCAGGCTGGAGTACAGTGGTGTGAGCTCGGCTCACTGCAACCTCCGCCTCCCGGATTCAAGCAATTCTCCTGTTTCAGCTTCCTGAGTAGCTGGGATTACAGGCGCCTGCCACCATGCCCGGCTAATTTTTGTATTTTTAGTAGAGACGAGGGTTCTCCATGTTGGTCAGACTGGTCTCAAACTCCTGACCTGAGGTGATCCACCCGCCTCAGCCTCCCAAAGTGCTGGGATTGCAGATGTGAGCCACTGCGCCCAGCCTAGTTTTGGTTTCTTGAAAGTTAAAAGTGTATGACTGTAGAATGGGAAAAAAAAAAAAAACTTCAGAGGACCATATCAAGTCAACCCAAAACTTCAAAACTTAGTAAAAAATTTATGGAAGTACTCTAATACTTCTCGGCCTTCAAGAGCATGAAAAAAAAATATTCTTAAGGATCAGTCCCCAAAAGGCCATGTAGATTAGTGACACCGCTCTGTCACTGTCAGTCTTTTTGGCTGTTCAGAATATAGATAATTAACAAAGTTCTACCAGCAGAGCTATTTCTGCACACTTTTAAATTTACATGGTGTCAAAGAAGAGGTGAAGAGGCACGTGCTTGACCTTTAGCATAAAATAATAAGAAAAAACACCAAAAAACTTCTAAGAAAGATACTTGTCTGCCTAGATTTGTTCAAACACAGAATATTTTGAAGAATTCCAAGTAAGAGACAGCTTCATAAAAAACACATCCAAGGCTCCTAAATTGTCCTCAAAGTGTCTCTCCTCCTAATTTTGATCTAATGCACTGATGTAACAGCTTGCTTTTCAACAATAAAAATTGTGAAAAGTCTAAAAATCCCAAAGGAGCATTTGCTCAACAATGAAAGTCTCAACCAGGGATAAAAGATTAACTCCTTATGCTTGAGGATCATTTTTTCATTATATGAAGAAATTAAAAAGTAAACATTTGTTCTCTTGATTTGCCAGTAAAAACACTAATTTTAAATTAATGAATACTTTCTCTTTTGCCTATCAATGATGTTGCAGTCCATAGCTTCCCAATTTACTCCCATTCTATGTTCCTTTTAGATACTGCAACAAAGAATGTACACTGACCTAGAAAAAAGGCAGCTAACAGCTAGGACTCAAGAACCTAAATTCAGAGTCAAATACATTGAAAAAGTATACCCCCAAAAGCATATACTTTTAAAACCATACTTTAACCTCATGAGTCCCAATCAGCTCCCCTTTCTTACCTTTCCAACTCAGCTATCTTCTTATCTTTGTCATTCTTCTCATTTTCCACCTCCTTCAAGATTTCTAGGAGTCGATCAACTTCTGCCTGGGCCTTGCTAGATTCATCTTTGTACCTGGTGATCTCTCTCTCCAAGTGCTGTATTCGGTCACTCATCTCTGGACTGGCCCTGGCTTCCAATGCTGCCTCATGTGCCTAACAAAGAAAAGCATTTCAATCCTATCAGACACACACAGGTGGCAATGGGCAAACCGTGTCCCAAATAACTATTTATATTCCAATTTAAGAATTGTATTATCAAATATCTAACAGCTAGTCTGCAATTTATAAGGTTTTTATCTGCTTAAGTATTATATAGAAAAATATTAGTAATAAATGGAGAATTATCTTAGGTTTCAAATAGATTAGTTGTTTTAAATAATACATCTCTGAATATTACTAGATTAAAAATCATCATAAGCCAAAAGATGCTTCAGAATTTAGTGAGACAAACTAACAAGTCATGGGACTGTTACTGATCTCTCCAAGATAATATCAAAAGGCAACACCAGGACTCACTGCTGATCTTATGGCTGGACCAGTGCAGAGACCTAATTCCCACTAGACTAACTTCCATTTCCATCTCCTTTATGCTGCTTTACCTAACTTGTGTGAATCACATGGCCTTGGACATCTAGAACCATATAGATACTGTAAGTGTGATGCCATAAAAATGTGAGTTAGGTTAAGAAAATAGCTGCTACCACCACCACACAGGTACCTCCCTCAGGCAAGGATTAGAGAATTTACAAAATAATATGGAAGAAACAAATGAATTCAGAAATCAAGAACCACACTTAAGGCTGGGCTCACTGGCTTGAGCCTGTAATCCCAGCACTAAGGGAGGCCCAAGCAGGGGGATTGCTTGAGGCCACAAGTTGAAGACCAGCCTGGGTAAGGCCCCATCACTATTAGAAAAAATGTATCTTTAAAATAAATTTTTTAAAGAACCATACTAAGATCTAAGAAAAAAAAATTTTCTTCAGGATCCTGTTATAAAAGTCAACTAATATTGTTAATGCATTTTGGAATACAAAACAGTTTCAATAATTACAAACTAATTTTCAAGACCTTACTTTTCTTCTGGAAGGCAGAATGTATTTAATGAGAAGACAAAAGCTGTTTTTTCTTATTCAATAGACCACAGAATATATTTAGTCCCTTAAAATGGTTTGAAAAAATATTAAAGGAGAAAATATATATTCTTAGGAAATATTTCAGAAAGCTCTGAAGCAAACTACCTTGAGTAAATGAGAAATGTTTGGGTAAATTGTGCTAAACGCTTGGTGAAAGTAACAGCTATACTTTTAAGGTAAGTCCTTTCTCAAGTTCATTTGTTTAAGCCTTCACACATGTAGAAAAAACAAAAATCTTTTATCTGTCTTAAATATAGACTTCCCTAACCCTTAACCTTGATAAACATATGAAGTATATTTTAAGAAACAAAAATCGTATGTAAGTTTGGAAGGTAAGAAGAGATCAGTGTTCTGCACTGAATGCTGTCCAATGTCTAAAATCACTTGTTTCACATGGTTTGCCAGCTTTTGAGTTGTTAATTGTAGAAGAGAAACTCCTGTAGCAGTCAATCTTTCATGGGCAGAAAGCGGCTATAAATACAGTACATCTAATAGAAAAGGAGAGAGGGAAGAAAACATAAGGAGTACCAAGATCAGGAGATATTTCAATAGAAAGCTGATCATATTACACATAAAGGGAGGGAAGAAAAAAAGGGAACAGAATGAAGATGCAAACAAACGCAGAAGTAATGCAAACAAAAGCGGAAGTAACTGAGAAAATTCTCAGTATCTACAAAGAAAGAAGGTGATGAAAAAGGCAATAGGAGGAGGCTTGATGTAGGGGCACAAAAGATGACTGTGTAAACAAACGTGACGGCCAGCTGCCATTTAGTGTCACTGAGATAATGCTGATTTCTAATAATTTATTATAAATATATTATTTATAACTCCACAAATATAACTACTACATATCAGCATTCTGGGTCTTCATACATGCTGGTGAGTCCTTTCTTTGAGGTCTCAGCTTAGAAAGGGTTACTTCTGTTAGGAGGTACTCCATGACCTTGACCTAGGTTAAGTTTTCTTTGATATAAGCTTACTTCACACCATGTGATTTACTACAATTACCTTCTTAAGTGTCTATCTTCCTGATAGAGGCTATAAATTATATGAGTCAAGGGACAGGTCTGTCTTGTCCACCATTATATCCTCAGTGCCCAGTGTGGTAACTAACAGAGTAAAAACTCAATTATTTGTAGAAAAAATGAATATGCAAAAAGCAGTGGGCTAGTTTCCATTTGATGTAAAACAGCCCATGGGCCTAAACGGTAGGAAAAGAAAAAATGGGAAGAAGAGATATTAATCAGTAATTAAATATAAATCTAAGACTAAATGTAGCCCAGAAGATGATTAAGAATATGGAATGAGGCCGGGTGCAGTGGTTCACGCCTCTAATCCCAGCACTTTGGGAGGCTAAGGTGGAGAACTGCTTGAGCCCAGAAGTTCAAGATCTGCCAGGGCAACATAGTGGGACCTTGCCTCTACGAAAAAATGATAAAATAATAACAATAAAGATAATAAAAGAATATTAAATGACAATCTTTAAAGACAAAATAAATCAAGCTAGAAAAGAAAATCAAATATACTATAAACCTTCCCTTCCCTTATGACAACAAATTCTGTATCAGAGTAGTTTACATCTAAACTCTTGCTGAGTTAATTTGTACTTTTAAATAAAATTCTAAGAATTTTAAACCACCTTAAAGATCCTTACAACTTTATAAATTACAATACAAACTCCAAAAAAGGCACATTTTTCAAATCAGTGTTATAAACATCCCTTTAAAATATATTTCTAGGCCAGGTGCAGTGGCTCACGCCTGTAATCCCACCATTTTGGGAGGCCAAGGTGGGTGGATCACCTGAGGCCAGGAGTTCAAGACCAGCCTGGCCAATATGACAAAACCCTGTCTCCACTAAAAAGTACAAAAATTAGCCCGGCATGGTAGCGCACACTTGTAATCCCAACTACTTGGGAGGGTGGGGCATGAGAATTGCTTAAACCCAGGAGGTGGAGGCTTCAGTGAGTTGAGATCATGCCACTGCATTCCAGCCTGAGTAACAGAGTGAGACTCGGTCACAAAAAAGTAAATAAAAATAAAATGGATTTCTAAATCGTGGAATATGACATTTAATTCAAGATGCAAGCATTTCTTCTGTGCATAGAGTTACTTATCACAGTATCAGTATGAAAGGTATTTTCTGGATGAAGTTATTTCATTTCATGGCTTCATTCTTTCTCTTCTCCCCTTTCTTATCCATTAAGTTCTAACTGTACGTTAACCTATGTTTTAAAAATGCAGATAATCTATACACCTTGCTTTTAGAATGTGAGGTCAAAAACATTCAGAAGCAAAAGCTACAAACGTTAGTGAAATAACAATATTAAATATTTGTGTAAAATATCACCTTTGGACAAAAGAAGCTGACGTAACAGTGAATAATCCTTAAAATACTGAGTTAAAGTTAAGCCTTCCATCCACAGGCCTTGTTCTGAAAAATACCTACCTTTTACATTATTAAAACCGCAATACTCATACACTGGAAGCAAAGATTTTGTTCTTTTGTATTTCATACATGTCACAGTAAAACATGTAAGATTACAAAACCATGCAGATAATCGTATTCCCATAGAAATCAACCTTTTTACCACGTAACCTATTTAATGAGAAAGTAAAGACTAAGACAAGTTTTTTTTCCTTATTCAATAAACAACAAAACATATTTAGCCCCTTAAAATGGTTTCAAAAATATTAAAGGGGTAAATATATATGCTTAGGCAATCTCTGATTCAAAGTAAAAGAGAAACATTTATGTACATTTTGTTAAATTCTTTGTGGAAGCAACAGAGGTACTTTCAAGATGAAGTTATCTACCAATTTCTTGTTTCAGGTGTCATCAGTTGTCAAAATGCAGTTACTAAGCATGGCCTTTATAAAAGACTCTACTGGCAGATACACATTTTAATGTGTTAGCAAAACTGTACCCTAAACCAGTGTGGCTAAAAGCCACAACACGGTGGAAATAAAAGGAAAGAGAAGCAGTCCTGAATGAATTAACTCACTAAGAACAAAACAAAGCAAAGGCAGCAGAAATGCAAACACTTCCCAAAGTATGAGGAAAAATTTTGGTCTAAGAGAAACGTTTCTATTTTGTATTAACGTCAATATACTTCGGAGAGGAATAATTTTTTAAAAAATCATTAAAAAAATCAATAGAGTTCCTATTTCAGGAAAGAAGAGATGAGAAGGATTCATTTATCTATCGGGTGATAAAAATGTCATTAAAAAAAATCTTAAAAAAAATCAATAGAGTTCCTATTTCAGGAAGGGAGAGATGAGAAGGTTAAACATATTCCTTTATCTATCGGGGGATAAAAATGTCATTCCCACAAAAGCCAGAAAAAACTACAACTGGGACTTTATGTACCATTTGGCTAGCTCACTGACTGGCTTGAATGAGTAGCCCCACACTACTATAGGATGCTAAAGACAGAAGCATTGGGTAGAAAAGAAGAAAGAAAAGTAGAGAAAATGGTTTAAGAGTAGGATAATCATGGGAAAGAAAATTAACAGTTAAAAAAATATGGTGAAAAAAAGGCTCAACAAAAAAAATCAGAGTCTAGAAATAAATATTTCACCGTAGAAAGAAAAAAAAAGAATTAAGCATTTTAAAAATTCTGTTAACTCAAGGCTGAGCCTAGTGGCCTTGCTGCCAGTCTTGGAAGACCAAGACAGAAGGATCTTTTGAGGCAGGGGTTTGAGACCAGCCCAGACAATATGGCAAGACCCCTCTGTTAAAAAAAAAAAAAAAATTTTTTTTGTAACTTAGCCAAGTGTTGTGGCATGGGTCTGTAGTCCCAACTCTTCGGGAGGCTGAGGCAGGAAGATCACTTAAACCCATAAGTCTGAAGTTACAGCAAACTATGCTTACACCACTGCACTCCAGACTGAACGACAGAGTAAGACCCATCCCTAAAAAAGAAAAAAGACAATAAGAATTTGATAACTCAAAAGTTAAGTTTCAATCCTTTCCTTAATAAATTCTGAGGATATTATCTCATGTTGAAGACACGGAATGCCAACATTCAGATACAGAATATAAATTCTTAAGCTATAAAATAGGTCAAAAATGACTTCAATTATCATTACCTCAAGACCAGTCATTTCCTACTCCAAACAAAACAGAGAATAAATCTTACTTTAAAAATTTCAATGATAAGCACAGGGTTTTGAATAAATATAAATTAGAACACTAATAATACACAAGTAATAGTTTCCAAGAAGAAAATATGCCAAATAGTCCTTCACATAAATCTACAAAGAAACTATAAAGCAAAAAAATAGACCCTAATGTAGAAGATGAAGATAACAAAATTCTAGGCCTAATAAATTGCTATGAAAAATTAAAAATATAACAAATAAAAAAAAAAACTTTCTGACAATATGCACCCTGTCTTTAAAAAAAATGCTAGGAAATTAACATTCTCCAAAATGAGATAAAATCTGAAACAGGATATTTAATAACTGTTCTGAGTCTCAGATCTTACTCCATAGGTTAAATTAGCAAACACATGCTCACTTATTCTTTTTTTCTGTTTTTAAGAGATGGGGTCTCAATCTGTGGCACAGGCTGGTGTCCAACTCCTGGCATGAAGTAATCCTCCCACCTCAACCTCCCAAGAAGCTGGAATTACAGTAATTGTATAAAATATCACCTTTGGACAAAAGAAGCTGACGTAACAAGTGAATAATCATCCTTAAAATACCGAGTTAAAGTTAAGCCTTCCATCCACAGGCCTTATTCTACTAAAATATACCTGCATTATATAAACACCAACAACAAACAGACACAATGCAATGATTAAGCAAACAAACTAATTATATTCTGGCAAGCTTAACCTCTTTCTCTGAAAGGTCGCCTTGCAATAGGCTGACTTTTTCCTTCAAGTATTTAAGATCTTCTTTGTAGTTATCAAGATCTTTTTGTAGTTCTGCATCTGGCAGAAGCCTGATTCTAATGGAAGAAAAATATCAGGTAATTGAGATTTTCACACTGTGGTCTCATATTTTACCCACAAGGGAGCTGCATATTATTGTCTTTCTCTGAACGGTCAATTTAATTTTCTATGATTTAGGGGATTATCTTGAATAAAATAAAGTAGAATAAGAATGCTAAGAGAATTAATTCAGGCATATATGGTATTTTAAAGTTTGGGGATTATTACTCCATTGGTAAATTATTCCCTATAAACACCCTAAGGTTATCTACTATGCTCTTAAAGCAAAGCAAAAAAAAATGTAAAAAATTTTCTTTAACCTTTTTTAATTGTGATTCCATTTTTAGACATTCCTCCTTCTTCTGCTCCAAAGCAATCTCTAGTGTCTTAAGCCGTGAGTCCTTTTTCAGTCCTGAGGATGCCAGAGAAGAAGCATGCTCTTTCAGATCCAAAAGTGAAGCCTAAAAGAGGCAACACACATCTAGAATAACTAACTATAAAGAAAATAGAGATTTTGAATTTTATATTTATTATCATGGTGGCTGTCATTTCCTTTCCATTACCAAATACTGATATATTTCCATTTCAAGATAATTCAGGAAATATGAAACAATATTAGCTCTAGCTTTCAACTCTTAACAAATAAGATGGATTCTCAAGAAATACCAATTGAACGGTGATTTAAAGAGTTCTGTTAATACATACCCATTCTCACAAAATAAACGAAAGTAGATCAAGCTTTGTAAATTTAAGTAGTCAAACCTCAGCAGCTACATTAACTTAAACATAAAACATTTTTCAGCCAGAGGCCATGTTTCCATTGCCTGTAATCCCAGCATTTCAGGAGGCCAAGGCAGGGGGATCACTTGAGGACAGGAGTTCAAGACCAGCCTGGGAAACATAGCAAGACCCCGTCTTCA